TTATAATAAACATAGTTGGTGGTCGCACCAGTTGCTTTGGCCGTTGCTACATAGCCTAGTGTTGGCGGTTCTGACATCCGTTTTTTCTTCGAAGGAAGCATTGGCTTAACGTTTATCCTGACACAAGCGGATGGTTTCGAAATGTCATCAGTATGTGCTGAGCATTCGGTATAAAAAGAAGTACATTAATAGCAATAAAAAAACAATGAAAGAGTAGAGATGTAAAGATTGTATTGGCAGTGCAATCCACTGAAGATTAAGTGTAAGTATAGTACTTGTAATGGGCATGTGCCTGAAGTTTCACCCGGTATGTAAAACATCCTGTGATGTTTAAACCGGTATAATAAACCGGTATGTCAAACACCCTGTGACGTACAAACCGGGAGGAAAGTGAAGATGGTGTGTAAATCCCCTGATATTTTTTGGATGTGCTGTTTGTAGCACAGTGAAGTCAGACTGAGTAAATAAATCCATCACTTGGATTATGACAGTCCGAGTGTGTTTTTACGCCAATCTTGAAGCATTCAAGTCGTTTACTATGCGAATGGTTGTCACTTTCATTTAATTTGTGCATCTGCTACTTTAAAATTTGCATGAAGAAATATCCGCTGAATGGTTGTTCATTGAAAATGATTGGTTGTGCTGGATCTTGAATCAACAATTTTCTTCGCAAAAGTTACGTATGAGGGTTGCTACTGTGTTCCTGGGACATCAATTGACCGGGAAATTTATTGGGAAAATTTTAGCCTGTAGCTTTTGGACACGATAGCCCTTCGGGCTGTCCGTTCCAAAGAATTTATGCTAAATAAATATAGTTCTAGGCCCGCAGAGTGGCCTGTAGTAGCAGCAGCCCAAGTTCCTCAATTGGATGCAATACGCTGACTTTCCTTTGATTATTTGGCGAATGCAGCTAATCGGCTCCTTCTTCACTTCGTTATGGCGAGCACGATCCATCGGCTCCTTCGGTTCCCTGAGCTCGGTTCGTCGGCTCGTGCCGTCATAATACCCTCAAACTTGGGTAATATAACCTTTATCAGCAAATGATAAAAAATCGAGCAAACGTAACGCTTGAGTAATATGATACATAATACATTATACAACATCGGCATGTAAAAATTGGGTTGGAGGTGCATATTATTGTTGTCGGCGTCCTTGGCATTCCCATGAAAGGGCCTGTGAAAAATTTTTTCGTGTAAGTTGCTAACTCGGGAACCTGAGAAGCTAGAAGACTGGAATTTTGAAGGGGTTTCTTGATGGTCCTGGCGGTCAGTCCGAAATTCTTTAGGCTAGAAGCATCTGCTGAAAAAAACAGTGTCATTAGCAAGAAAATCTGTGGGGAAATGTGCAAAAAACGCATCTTCGCAGGTGCTGCCTGTGCGTTGGCCAATTATTATGTGTTTTTTGCAGCTATGCAATGCAAAAACGCATATTGACAAGGGGTATGCGTTTTTGCACTTCATAGCTGCAAAAAGGTGGAGGTGGTACCAATTGCATTTAGCTTCGTGTTTGGCATTGCGTATTTTCAGAAAAGAATGCCTCATTATCGTTTATGCACTGTTTTTTCGAAAATAGTTTTTTCAGACTGAGAAAACCCATTGCTTGGACTGAATGAGTTCATAAAATGAGAATACGAAAAAACCGGAAGACATTGAAATCCCGGGAAAAAATAGATGCTTTGTCTGTGGCCACCAAAGTCACAAAGCTTTCTGTAAAACTTTGGAAAGTTTTTCTGCAAACATGGCAGGAATAAGTTTTGCTAGTGCTGAACAGCACATTAATTATGCAGGCTATAAAAGTTGTTTACTGTCGAAACAATAAACTTTATGCCGCCCGTTTTTGGAATTTTTACGAGTACTAAAAATAATTTTGGCATTCTCGCGCATATCAATTCATTTATTAAACCTATTTCTCTAATGTGTAAAATTCGTATGCCGTGCTTTTCTCTCTAACCTTTCTGCCATAAAATTAGCAGTACGAATTTTCGACTTCCATAATTTTTCCTTTTATAGGGCAAACAAAATCTAGACTTGCTTGTCATTTTGTATTTTATGTAACAGCAGTGTAATGTTTTGTCGAAATCCCCGCGTTTTCGATGTCGGTACCACCGCAACAAGCGCTGTCATAATCTCCATAACGTCAAAGTTTGCATTGTCCTCATCGTCATAATCAACCCTGAGAACATCATTTTTCCAGTTTTCTTCATAGCCAATCTTACTTCCTACCATCTAACTCGCTATTTACACTGGCCAAGCTACTCTGACAGATAAATCCTCTTTTTGCAACAAACTTTGCTGGTCGATCCGAGAATCGATTCCAGGGCTCGTATTGCAAAAGAATGACTTATCTGTCAGGGTGACTTGGTCCAAATGCCGTAGTAGATGTTAAGGTTAATAAATGTGATAATGTTGCGGTTTTTCTTAAAAAAATGTTTTATCTGTTGGAGTGGCTTAGCTGTGATAAGAAGGGTGCTTATGGGAGAGGAGGCTGATGATAAAGTTGATAGAGTCGATTTTGATCTGATAGTGCTGATTGACGATGTTGGTCGCATGTAGAATGACTAGTTACCGCAGTGAAAAGCAAATTATGAAATAATTTATCCAAGAAATAAATCGATAGCCTAGGAGTTGAGCAGACATGTGAACAAAGCGAATAATTGGCTAATGCACGGGCTACCCGTGCGAAGATGCGTTTTTTACATGGTTCCCTGCAGTTTTTGTTGCTACCGGCACCGGTTTTTTCGGCAAATGCTTCTAGCTAAACA